TTAAGAAACAATTCTTATTAGAAAATAAATATGAATCGCTTTATTTCAAAAATTACAATGTATATTTTTTGTTAATGCAGATAGTGCGGATTTAACGTATTTTATAACCTTTACATGGGGAACATAAATTTATGGCAGATTGCTATTAACAATTTTTACACAATTTACGATTGCAATCAATTTCTTTAAAAACTATAATCTAAATGATTGCAAGTTGTATTTTTTACGATCAAAAAAGATTCCAATATTAGGTATATTATACAAATGCAATCCATTTTGATTTGAGTTATTCAGTTTTAGATACATTTATATTTCTGTGTTCGTATGGAATAGTAGTTTATGTCCGGAAGCTGGCTTTAGTATAATCCGGCATTCCCTTTATTATTTACAACACAAGGAATTTTTCGATGACCCTTAACAAGAATATGGACTTGCTAGTATCGGAACTATTTCTTGCACGTTTATTTGCCAAAATTTCTTCAACGGCTCGGCGCCAGTGAGGGTATGCTGCGAATGCCGTATTATACTAAAACCAGCCTTTTGACATAAGCTACTATTCCATACGAGTGGGGCGCGTGCGAAATGTGCATTTTCCCAGTTGCAGTAGTGCAGTAACTCGACACCTTCCTCACCAACAGCTCTGTCCTCTATTATATATTGGCTATCATGCACCAGAAAATTTCCATCACGCATTCCATATGCCACCGATTGTCGTGGATCAATTAAAATACTGTCATCACAGCTTTTTGGTACTCCAGCAACTGGTGTGTCTATGGCGGAGTTATGTGGAGCTGTTGCATGACTAAAATCAATTTGGACTCTTTGAGAACTGGCTTGTTTGTTGCGAAAGCTATTGGCATCAAATGTATGCAAATTAGATTTCCAAACGAGCAACTGTTGAATATAGGGAAAAAATTTATATTATATAATTTTTTCACACACAAAGCAGAAATTACTTGTCGATCCTCGCCCGCGGAAGCAAAATTTCTACCATGTGGAGAAAGCGACGGCGCAAACTTTGTCAGTATGGCCAGTTAGTGTATAATTTTCCCGTCCATTTTGACCTGGTTCCGCTAAAGTGCACTACTACCGTGTATAAATTGGTCGACCTTCTAATAAATCAAGCAATGTTATGGTATTGTCGTCGCCGCCAGTCACCAAGAAATTTCGAACTGGGTGAAATGCAACATCATTCTCTGACGACGAATGAACTTGATACAATGGTATTAGCTCGCCTTCGGCTATGTCGAATATCTTAACGCGGTTACAACTTAATGCTAAAGCCACCAGATTACCGTCTGGATACCATGCCAGCTGTCGTCCCATACCTCTTCCCCGGGTGAACGTTCGCACACATTCGCCTGAAGATGTATCGCAAATTCTTAACTTGTCGCCGCACGATGCAATTAACTGGCCATTAGGGCTGAATTTTGCTGCGCACACCCAATTTGCGTGTCCAGTGAAAGATGTATATTTTGAATCAGTATTTTTATAGCCGTTCGCCATTTTTCGAGCCTGCAAACGAATAAGCTGACGAAGATACAAACAAATTCAAGCACATTGTTGCATTCTACCGTCCTTTTAAAAACTTTAAAATCTTAAAACATATGTGAAAAACTTTTATAATATGAATATTTCTAAAGTCGAAATCAAAAGAAAATTTTATAAATAGCATATTTAAAAAACAATCATCTGATATTTTCCAAGTTTTTGGGCATATATATCCAATTGAACAACAAATAGTACTAAGTTTTATGAGACTTTTTAATGCAACCCAGGTCAAAAAGGCACAGTTTTGACCAAAATAAGCAACTCTAAAAAACAGATGATCGCAGCTGTGGCCCAGGATGGCGTCTATTGCTAAGATGTCCCACTTGTATTTGTACACAATGACACTTACACCGCAAGTTTCAGCTGTCCCGCTGTGCATCCGTTTTGCGCTAGTTCAGAGATAGTTCTGATATATTTATGTAGTTCGGAACTAGCGTTTTGTCAGACTGTCTCTAAATTTTACTGCAGGGAACCGAAATAAGAATATCAGGGAACGTATTTTATGGAAATTGCCTTTTTTTCTGCTAAAGAGATAGAGTATATTCGATTAAGAATGTCCACGATTTAGCTTTCCCTGATACCATATATACACATTTGATGTTGCCTTTTTTAAGATATTTGCCTTTTTTGCATTTTCTACCTTTAAAAAAGTGATTATAGCATTCACAATTTTTTTTTAAGATTAAAAAATATACATGCCCACGCGGCTTATAGAAGCGCAGGGACCTCTTGCCAAATTGGTGTTGGAAAAATTCAAAGCCGTTTTCTCAGCTAACGTAGTCTTGGAGACAATAAGGGGTGTGGAAAAAAAGGGCGAAAAAACGCCATTATTCCTGATAATATGAACGTTTCAAACGTTCCATATTTAAATTGGGCTCCACTTGTATCAATTTACGTCGAGCGCACATTTAGTACATTCAAGGCTTTTCTTCTCGAAAATAGAATGAAAATGGTGCCAGAAAACTTCAAAATGCATCTTGTGGTTCAACGTTACTACAACTATACAGATTAAAGTTTTATGAGTTAGAAACTCGAAAGGATAAAATAGTCAAAGATTTAAAGTAAAAATTTTGCATATAATAAAACTAGTTCACAGTTTTTTCTAAAATAAATGTAGTTTTTGATTGTTCTTCGTATTTTCTGTATTTTCTTATTTTGCTTTTTTTGCAATATCTAGTGCCTTTTCCTGCCTTTTTCGCTATTTTATTTTGCCTTTTTTTGCCTTTTTTGCAATACCTAGTGCCTTTTCCTGCCTTTTTCGCTATTTTATTTTGCCTTTTCCAGCCTTTTTCGTTATTTTGCCTCTTTTATAGGTTTTTAGGTCCTAAAAATCGGTTCCCTGAAGAATACATATACATATAAATGAAGCAGTGTTGCACAAAAAAATTACCAAATTCCTCAAAAACAAACGAAAAATCCTCAAAATCTGAACAAATTACTCAAAATTTTCTTGTTACAGACATGAGTATTGTGTACTAGAGGTGTTAAACTATCGATAGTCACACCATCGATAGTTTTGATAGTTTTCAGAAAAACTACTAAACTATCGATATTTTTGATAGTATAAGAAAAAACTATCAATGAGTATTGATAGTCTAAAAAAATTGAAACTATCGATACTATCGATAGTGCCATCGATAGTTTGACAACTCTATTGTGTACTGCATACTATTTACAGGTACTTAGTATAAAAATAAATAATATAAAAAAAAAACTTTTTAATATACAACGCTTTTATAAATGGACTAAAAAGTAGAAAATAATATTTCTCAGTTCCTTAGAATTTGTTTTGATAACTTTTGATTTTGAAATTTTAGCAAAAGTCATTATAAACAATCTATGAAATTGAAAATGAAAAACGTGGAGCGCATGCAATACAAAGCATTCGATTTAATTGACAATAGTCAAACTACATAACGTAGACCTAAAATTTCTACAGCGAAAGTAGAACTTTGAAATCGATTTTAAGCGGTCGTTATTCATATACCCACATACATACATTCATATATTACTTTTCATATCAATTCAAGTGTATTACATGCGCCCCACGCTTTTCATTTTCAATTTCATAGATTGTTTATAATGATTTTTGCTAAAATTTCAAAATCAAAAGTTATCAAAACAAATTCTATGGGACTGAGAAATATTATTTTCTACTTTTTAGTCCATTTATAAAAGCGTTGTATATTAAAAAGTTTTTTTTATATTATTTATTTTCTACTTTTCAGTCCTGTCTGAATAAAATTTTGCAATAGATATTAAAATAATTCAACGATATTAATAGAAAGGTACATATGTATGTACATACAAACGAGCACCAATTAATTTTATTTAAAGAAATGGCGTGTCGTCTATTTCCGCTGTAGCAAACGTAGTACATAGGGCGACATCTAGATGTCATCTACCTCGCCCTATTCACTACAGATGTCGCCCTATGCACTATGCTTTTTTATAGGAGCTTTTCAAAGCAAAGGTTTTATAGTGTCGGACACACAACATTGAAAGTTTCTGGACACACAACATTGCAAGTTGATAAAAGCGTTGTAATAATTAATTACATTCTCCAATTCAATTGGTACATTTTTTCTTGTGGTTCAAACAAAGTATCACCGTTATTTATAAACTTATATGAAGCTGAAGGATCTTTTAATTCAAAAACGTTTCCTATAATTATCTGGATCTAATGAGGAATCAATATGAATATCCTTATGATCGAACAATGCGTGTTCTCTCCATTCATTCCCCAGATTATGTCGGTTTAAAATACGTTGAAAATATGACGATAGAAAGAAAAAATTATCGATAAAATTTTGAATATTTGCAGCAAATGCAGATGTGCTTAAGAGCGAAAAACACCACACAAGCGGCTTGACAAACCAAACGAAGTATCCCTTTGCTTAAAGCTATTTATATATGTTGTGTATGGGTGTGTTTGAAGTTTTGACAAGCCGTTTGAAGGAAATGTGAACAAAAATCAAAATTTTTTGATTTTCTGGCCGCCATGTTGACGTTTGATTAAACCGCTTACGTAGTGTATGATAAAATCGCCTCATTCGCAACGGAACGAGGACGCGATAGAGAAAAATCGGAGAAAACCGAACCCTTTTACATTGTGAACCGGAAGAAAACTAAAATTCTTTGCTTGAACGAGTCATGTTTGCATGGTGTATGGCGAAATGGGAAAAGTAGGTTTAAAGAATGTTTGACAAGCCACTTGTGTGGTGTATTTCGCTCTTTATAAAACTTCGGAAAGCTTTTTGTTCAAAAATTTGCAGAGCGATTTAACAACTCTCTTGTATAAAACATGGCTGCATTTGTTATCTGCAAATATGTCGAGAGAAAATTCCTCAAAAATTATAGCTAGACGTTGATCATCTCTATGGAAATTCCTATTGAAGGAGCTTACTCATTCCCCCCTATTACGGTTGGCGTCGTCGACATCGTCGTCGTTTTTCAGTCGACATCACTTCGTGTCGACGTCGACATCACATCGACGCAGAATCGGTACTGACTAAACGTGTTGAGACGACGTCGACAATTTATCGATAAATTAATGTAGGAAATACCATCTTTGTCATTTTTGCATCAGCTGTTTCATGTTGTTTACAATTTTTATTTAAAAGGTTACGTTCTTTAGATCTGTGTGATTATTATTATATTGAATATTTTTGCGCAAAAATGTTCTTTGTTTCCGATTCAAGCTCAAGCGATGAAGAATACAAAAAAGAGCTTACACTAAAAAGGAAAATTATTAGGCAGAACTCTGATATATTTAGTTTGCCAGATAACAGGTAAGTGTTACAATTTATACTTGTGGAAAAGTGTTTGAGCGTTTTGGATTTTTTCATACATATCAATGTTGCTAAAAATTTTATTTTATTTCAGATTTCAGGACTATTTTCGACTAAACAAAACTGCATTTAACTATGTACTACAAAAAATTAAGCCGCAAATGAAAAATGGAATCCGGACAACAGCCGTATCAAAAACTTTAAAATTGGCAGCGACTTTGCGGTTTTTGGGTCAGGGCTCATATCAAACAAGTGTTGGAAACGACTTCCACCTTGGGCTTTCCCAGCCAACAGTTAGTTCAGTCCTGTCTGAAACACTCGACATTTTAGAAGTAGTCATATGTCCTCTATGGATCAAATTTCATATGACAGACGCTGAAAAAACAGAAGCCAAGGAGTATTTTTTCCAAAAAACTGGTTTTCCTGGTGTTATTGGATGTGTCGATGGAAGCCACATTAAAATTTTGGCTCCCAACAAACAAGACCAGCATCTTTACTACAATCGAAAAGGATTTTTTAGTTTGAATGCTATGATTGTAAGAACAGGCCAACGTTTGCTTTGCATTTTAAAACATAAAAAATTCTTCCACAGATTTGCGATCATAAAATGCGAATACGGTATTTTGATGCTCGTTATGCGGGTTCTGGGCATGACTCTCTAATTTGGAATATTAGCCAAGCGAGAACAATTCTGAAGGAGCGATACGATGCTGGGGAGCGTAGATGCTGGCTCTTAGGTAAGAATTAACCCCGCAAATTTAAACCCTATAAAATATATAAAATGTTTATGTAGGTGATGCGGGTTATCCTCTTGAACCATACATTATGACGCCATATCGATCCGCAGCAGAAGGAAGTCCAGAAGCTATTTACAACAACAAACATGCCAAAGCTAGAAACATAGTTGAACGCACTATTGGAGTGTTAAAAAACCGATTTCGCTGTTTGCTCGGTGCACGTCAACTTCACTATACGCCATCTAAAGCCACGCAAATCGCTAATGTATGTGCAGCACTCAACAACATTTGCATCGAGTTTGGTTCACACATCACAAACGAGGATGCAGACATTGCAGAACTAAACGAAGACAATGTTGACAATACTGATGATGTGGAAAATAGCATAAATATTGAAGCTTCGCAAATTAGAGAACAAATAAAAAACAGTTTTGTGTAATTTCAGTTCATTCTTTTTTTATAAAATAAATGGAATTCAGTCTCTAAATATCAAATAAATAGTAATTCTAATATCTAACGTACTAAACAAAAACAATTCACAGTTCATTCTTTTTTAATAAAATAAATGGAATTCAGTCTTTTAATATCAAATAAATAGTAATTCTAATATTTAACGTACTAAACAAAAACAATTCACGGGTACTTAAAAATAAAAAATAAATAGGTACATATCTACATGAAAATCAGTCAACTTTTTTTTAAATTCCTAAGCTTTTCTTTGGCAATTTCTAATTTTATTTCTTTTAACTGCATTGCAGCTTTGTGCAATTCTACCTCTCTGCGATCCCTTTTTTCCAAAAGCTTTAGCTTCTTTTCCTCTATTGCGAGAAGTTTCTTCTGATAACCGGCCGTATCGCGTAAGGAATGCTTCATTGATCCCATTTTATTTGTAGCGTCAGTTAAAATTCTTTCCTGCATACTATTGTGCCTTTCCAAAAGGTCGTTCCTCTCGCTCGTTTTTGGTTTTCGTGTTCTGGCTGGAGTGGATGGTTGATTTCTGCTCCTGGCGCTCGCTGAAGTTGCGGGTTCTTCCTCTTCGCATGGCAAATCTGGTGGGCACAACTGAATGCATTCAATAATTTGAGCGCCATCCAGTGGAGCAAATTCAACCGCACTTGATGTTTGGTGTTGTGTTTCCGCTGGTGGTAACTGAACACCTTGCAAAACACCTTCTGGACTTAGCTGCTTGTTAAACTGCAGCAAGTTGGCTACAGCCTCTTCCAATGGGCAGAGGGTTAATTGTTTATACCTTCCGCCACCTGTTGCATTACACTCAGCCTTGTTTTTTATAAGTTTCTTCTTAACTTTAAATTTGTAATCTCGCCACACCTGCAGTTGAAATGTACATATATTACAAAATATATGCTTTAATGGTGTTATTATAATTACCTTCTGCCAACCATCGCTGTCTCTTAAAGGGGGCCCAAGGGCATTCAATTTACTGCTGATTGTCTCCCATTGCTGTTTAAAATTAGCTGGAGCTGTTCCCTTTTGAAAACCCTTTGCTAGGCAAGGGCTTTTTTCTAACTCAGCTATAAGAGTTTCAAATTGTTCTGCGCTTGTAATTTTCATGTCTAAAATCTAAATAAATGCAGACACATAGACATTTATTAATTTAATTTAATTAAAAACACGAAAAATAAAAAGAGAAGACAGGAGTTAAATGAAATATTTAACAAATGAATTCCACTGATGCTTAACGAGTCGTTCACATAGTACATACATATGTACATATGTCTACACATCATATTTTATAAGTACCTGGTACTAACGGCCTTTTTTCTTAAAAAAAAAAAACACTTATACTTACAAATTTTCTTCCAGTCGTCAGTAAACACGGTGTCGACAGAAATGGCGTCGTGTGAGTTCAACGTCGACAGCAACTTTGCTTAGCCAGTACCAAAGATGTGACAATAGTTGTCAAGAGGTATCGATATCAACTACGCCAATACCGATTTTAACAAGTCGTCGTCGTTTAGTGACGACAACGCCAACCGTAATAGGGGGGATTGACTTTAAAAGAAGGGACAGTTTTACCACAGAAGTTTTTTAGCCAAGGATCCAATGTATATCCCTATGAAAAAAATGTTATCCGACAAGTAAACAAAATTACTGTTTTTAAAATTTTTGCTAAAAATAAATTCCCCAAAGAGCCCCATTTGAAATTAATTAAACGAATATATGTAATAGGTGGCATACGCGGTACGTCGACTCGCGAGTCATTTGTGTACGTGTTGACACGCCTTCGACTACACACAGTTGAATCATTCAGAGTCATGCCCCCAGTAAGAACTCTATCTGTTAACTAATGCGTTATATACGCCTAGTACTACAAAATCACTTTTTCCCGCTTTTTATAATCGAAACTGTATGGTGGAAAGTGTGTTCTAATATCTATTGATACACAAAAAATGATCACGGCTGTATTTTTTGCTGATATATTACATACATATGTTCCATTTAGTTAAACAATATAAGAATATTGTAGTACGTACCACAAAAACGTATATTTTCTATAAAATATCATAACTCAGAAAAAAAAAATCTTCGCTATTAGAGATTTGGGTTGATTGTCTCTTTCCCGGTAAAAAAGTTTGAGAGAAAAAAAAAATACACTTTTTGAGAAATTAAATTAAAAAAAAAATATGCACTTTTTGTTTATTGTTAAATAAAAAATTTTAAATAATGAAAATCAATAAGTATATCATTCTATCTTGAAGTGACAAGATTTACTGACATTTGGGTAAAAACATTGTTGGAATCTATTAAATATTGACAAAGTTATGGGCATTTTAAAAAAACATTCTCACTGTCAATTCGAAAAATCGATTTTTGCCTGAAAAACAAAATCGCGTTTAATTTGGTCGAAAAATTTTTCTGAGCCAAAAGAAAAAATACGTGTCTCATTATTTGGACCAACAAACAATGTATTTGAGTTTGGTCGAAATTAAAAATCATGCTCGTACCTGACCGGTTGTCTGGAAATGGAAAGCATCCTATGTATTTTCCTGTGACAAATTTTCTAGTGATCAATTGTCCTGTGATCAGTGATATTGTGATAATTTTGGCTGTGATGTTTTTCGTAGTGATCTAATTATCCTGTGATCATTTTCCTAGTGATCAGTTGTTCTATCGATCATTTGTCTTGTGAGCATTTTGCCTGTGTTTTTTTGTTGCGATCATTTGTCCTATGCCAGGTACCCCCTAGAAATAGCCTACGTATGCCCACCCCAGCCTCCCTTGGGCGAGCTCGTACGGCCTACCACTAGACCTAGACGAGGCAGGGGAGTTTGTACCTCGGCCTTGGCTAGGCCCCGCCTGCTTGCACCACTGCACAGTGGTGTAACCAACGACACCTATATATCTAGGTGGATTTTCGCCAACCATGCTTGGAGGAAGGTGTCCGTGTTATTTATTCCGAAATCGGGCAACAGGCCCCTTGACTTAGCTAAACCATACAGACCTATTAGCCTAACTTCCTTCACTCTCAAAACTTTAGAGAGACTCTTAGACCTCCATATTAGGGAGCGACTTAACACTTTCACTCCCTCACACCAAACACAATTCGCTTATGTCAAAGGGAAACCAACTGGTTCGGCCCTACAGTATCTTAGTTGGTAGGATCGAAAGTGCCTTCGAAGCAAAGGATAGCGATCTGTGTACCTTCTTGGACATCGAGGGGGCTTTCGATAATATTGCCTATCGACCTATCTCAAGGTCATTGGTTCAAAGCGGCTTAGACCCTACTACTGTTGGTTGGATCGACGATATACTTCGTGAGCGTGAAATTTCATCGTCCTTGGGCAATACTCACGTGAAGACCAGAGCCGTGAGAGGCTGCCCACAGGGAGGGTACCTGAGTGTGGTTACGATGTTGTGGGATACGCAGATGACCTTGCAATTATAGTTACGGGAAAATTCGGCAGTATCTGACGTTACATGCGCAGCGTGGTCGCGTGGTCTCAAACTGGTGTGCCAATGAGAACCTCAGCATAAATCCTCTTAAGACTGTTCTGGTACCGCTTACAACAAGGTATACACCAAACCTTTGTTCGGTCACTCTTGGAGGGACAGTACTTGAGTACTCCGATGAAGTCAAATATCTGGGGATAATGATAGATAAGAGACTTAATTGAAACTCCCATCTTTACAGAACGGTTGCTAAAGCCACACGGGCCATGTGGGGCTGCAGAAGACGTGGGGTTTGAGCTCAAGGCTGATTGAGTGGCTTTACCGTATTATCGTCCGTCCGATTGTGTTTTATGCATCCATAGCATGGTGGCAGAAGATAATGCAAAAAATTTCCATACTTCGCCTTTAAAAACTGCAAAGATTGGCATGGCTATCCGTCACTGGTTCTATAAGAACGTGTTCAACCGCGGCTCTAGCGGAAACCGCAGCCACGAAGGAGCTGCAACTTCAACTATCCAACGACGGCTTCTTCGCAAAGAAGCTTCATGCAGGTATTCTTGGGAAGAGGGTTGGAAATATGCGGAATCTGTGACTCCATGACTAAAGACGTCTACTTTGGCAGAAAATTTCCAGTGATAATCCTCTATCGCGAAGATTGAACAAATGGGCTCTCTGCACTTGATCTCAGATACGTACACTGGTACAGAGACGGTTCAGGGACGGAGGACAGAGCGGGTGCAGGTATCTTTGGACCTAGCACCAAACTTACAATTCCCATGGGCAAAAGGCCCACGGTGTTTCACGCTGAAATAGTCGCAATCTTAAAAAGGGTTTAAAGGGCGCTTTTGTAGTTATTTTTTCAGATAGCCAAGCAGCCATCCGGGCCCTTTCAAATTAGACTATCCAATCCAAGCTGGTTAGAGACTGCTATGACACGCTATAAATTTTGACAGCCAAAAACACGGTAACACTGTGCTGGGTACCAGGCCATTGTGGAATCGCAGGCAATGAGATCGCCGACGACTTGGCACCTGCAGGATCGCCAACTGCCTTTTCGGGACTTGAACCATTCTGTTTTCCCAGTCGTTATTGTCGAGAGCCATAATTATTGAGTGGATACTCTCGGAACGCAGTAAGCACTGGGGAGAGGTGGGAGGCCTTAGACAGGCCAGGCTCTTCGGCTACCCTTTTAACAGAAACGACATTTTCTTAGCAAATAGAAATGACATCAGGCTACTTTCTGGGTATCTGACCGGTCACAACTAATTGCGATTCCACTTGCACCGAATAGGTGCGATCACAGAGTCGGAATGCCGGCTCTGGCTCGAGACTGATGAAACATCGGAGCATATTCTCTGTCACTGTCCGGATTTAGCCAGACAAAAAACTGATTCATTTTAAATCTCCGATGTTCGAACCCTTTGTTATAAGGAACTCGTCTACCAAGACACTTTTAGGATTCATTAGGGAAGTCGAAGGTATCTTGGCCGCATTGGGTTAGGGACTCCTTTAAAGAGATACAAAAGATCTTTAGGTCGCCCAAAATTTGTTGGGAAAGGTATCCCGATCGTGTGAATGCACAAATATTTTTCTTTATCCCAATCACGAAAAACATTTCAAATTTTTCGATAGAAGTTCCCTGTATTGTACCAATCGTGTGAAAACCATTGCACATATTTAACAAAAAGCACTATACACTCACTCTTGATTGCCAGTGTACATACATACTTATCTATGTACATATTAATTGTCCTCAATATCAAGAATTCGTGTGGAATGCATCGGACTCAATAAAGGAATGTGAGTAGTGTCAGAATTGTCATTATTCGATTCCTCCTAAATCCGCTGTGGATTTCGATCTTTTCACTCCTAAATTTTTTTCTAACAGTAATATTTTTAATTTATTTTTGCACAGCTCACTCTCCAATAATTGAACTTTTAGTTCTTCATGTTTATCACATGTATGCACTTTTCGGGGTTGTCTTTGTTGCTCGATCTTGCTCTATGGGGTTCTCTGTTCTCCAATGTAGAGTCCAAATTGAAAGACACCCCATCACTTTCGGGCTGGCCGAAACCCTGCACAACCGTCGACTCGTTACCAAAAATACAATTATCGACTTCATCTAATATGGCATTTTTGCCACCCGCAGTGCCTGTCCTCTTGGCATTGTCTCTTTTAGCCTGAAATAAAGAGATTTTTTTAATATTGCTGTTCGGGACCTGTATAATAACTGTTTTACAGAAATTCTTAAGCAAAACGACGTGTACACAAAGCAAGAATTGTTGTTATTGGTTAGCTTTGTTATTATGGTTTGTTTTTGGAATGCGTAGCTGTCTCTTTTCAAACTAAAAAATAGTTAGTTGTAAACAGACATGGGCAAAGAGTGAGCAGCTGGTTAAAGAGCCAAAACGTCCCGTGTACGTATATAGGCAAGAGCGTAACGATGAGAACATGACAGCATGCAAAATTAATTAGGTACACCAACATATTCTCACATTTAGCTCACGTTTGTTTGTGGTAGTGTCTACCTTTGATTGTAAAGTATTTAATTTATTTAACAAAATTACCAAGGTTCGACTATTCCAAAGACCAAATAAGTGGTCCCTGGCATAAGTCCACTCGCGGTTAGCAGTAGCTAACCTCTTCAGAACTTCAGCCCAAGCATCCCGTTTTTGTGTGTTTTTACTGCATTATTTTGGAAAGATCCAAATAAATAATCCTAAAATGTAGAAAAATATAGTTATTCAAATAAACATACATATGATAGTCAAGAATTACACGTCCATAAACCTAGCTGACCCAAGTCGCCAAAAATCAATAAAAATTAGCTAGCAATTAGGTGTCTTTTAGGTGTTAATTAGGGCCTCCAAAATTAATTTAGGTGTTCCTTTGGTTTCCGAGAAATTCGCAAAAATGTGTGGGTCAGCTAGGTTTAC